GATTCCTCAGCACCACATAAGCAAAAAGAAAAAAGCTGGAAGTGGCGCTGTGGCTCAAGTGGTAGAGTGCTAGCCTTGAGCTGAAGAGCTGAGGGGCAGCGCCCACGCCCAGAGTTCAGGCCCCATGACCAGACACCCCTGCCCCACCCCCCAAAAAAAGTCTCACAGACTTGCCTGCCTGAGATGGCTTCAAATTGTGATTTTCAGATCTCAGCCTCCTGAGTAGATAGGATTGCAGGTGTGAGCCATCAGCTCCTGGCTAAGTTTTAGTTCTATAAAAATCAAATACACACATGCACAGACTTTTAAAAGTGCAATACTTCTATAATGATGATGGCTGTAAAAGTTACTACATCGAGCCTGATCCTTCGGGGTAATCATTTGAAATGTTTTAATTAATTCTTGTGGTATTCACCTCCATATGTCTAAATTTAAACTTGAGTTTTGACATCGCTGGAAATGTGCCTCTCCCATCAAGTGTTGAAATTCTAACCCCCAATATGATGGTAAGTGAAAAAAAGCTGGAGATGGCACTGTGGCTCAAGTGGTAGAGCGCTAGCCTTGAGCACAGAGAGGCTCAGGGACAACACCCAGACGCAGAGCTCAAGCCCCAGGACTGGCAAAAGAAATGTGCTAAAAAGGATTCCTGAGAGCTTATATTGTCCTCTTCTAGTACGTAACTACATGGTGGGGATAGCCAACGGAGAGTCAGGAAGCAGGCTTTCCTTACCAGACACTGAATGTACCTGGTGTCTTGATCTTGAACTTGCAATTTCCACAACTGTATGTAATCAACTTCAGTTTGTTTATAAGACACCTACTCTCTGATATTTTGTTGTGGTGACCCAAATCAACCAAGATAGGCATCATCTATGGCTTCTCATTATGAGAGAAAAGAATTAAACTTTTTCATTCCAAACTCAATTCCACAATGACACTCACACACATTTCCCCTCTCCAGTCTTCCCGTGTGGCTATATGCTATTTTTGCCTCTATCGGTGCATGGGAATGTTATTTAATGCTCATATATATATATAATATGTTAGGATGACTTTTCCTTTCCTTTAAGATTGCTTGGGATTTCCTTAGGTTAATAAGTATCCTAGCTAGGCATTTTGTGGTTCATACCTGTAATCCTAGCTACTCAAAGAGGCTAAGATCTGAGGATTTCAGTTTGAAGCCCACCCAGTCAGGAAAGTCTGAGACTCATCTCAAATTAACCACCAAAAGGCCAGAAGTGGAGCTGTAGCTCAAGAGGTAGAGCACTAGCCTTGAGCACAAAAACTCAGGGAACAGCACCCAGGCCTTAAGTTCAAGCCCCAAGATGGGCACCCCCTCAAAAATTAAAGTGTCCTATTTTTCATGTTTGGTTTCTAAAGTACAAATCCTCTGACTTTTGGTTAAGGAGCTCTCCTTTCCTATTCAGACACATCAGGGTTGTTTTTTTTTGTTGGTCATGGGGCTTGAACTTTGGGCCTGGGCGCTGTCCCTCAGCTCTTCAGCTCAAGGCGAGCACTCTACCACTAGAGCCACAGCGCCACTTCCAGTTTTTTTTTGCTTATGTGGTGCTGAGGAATGGAACCCAGGGCCTCATGCATGCAAGGCAAGTGCTCTACCACTGAGCCACCTTCCCAGCCTACACATTAAGATTTTTATTTCATCTTCCTAAGAAGTCTATTGTGGAGCCCCCTTTCTTGCCCCAATCCAGATTTGTTTCTCCAGTCCTGCTCTGTAGTTGCTTGAGATTTCGTTCCCTTTTCTTGTGTTCAGATTCCATTTTTTGGCTCCTGTGTTCATCTTGATTTGTTCATATTCCCATGTTAGTGAAACAATACTCTCCAGTGTTTCCTGAGAAACGCTATGGGGGGGGGGACAATTTCTCTAATCTAGCATGATTGAAAAATGTCCTAGTCTACCTATTTGGCTTATTTGGGGATTCTAGGTAGGGAATTTATATTCCTCTGAATTTTTTTTTGTCAGTTGTGGGGCTTGAACTCAGGGCTGGGCGCTGTCCCTAAGCCTCTTTGTGCTCAAGGCTAGTGTTCTACCACTTGAGCCACAGTGCCACTTCTGGTTTTTGAATAGTTAATTAGAGACAAGAATCTCACAGAGACTTTCTTCCCGGGCTACCTCTGAACCCCAGTCTTTAGATCTCAGCTTCCTGAGTAGCTAGGATTACAGGCGTGAGCTGCCAACACTGGGCTTATTCCTCAGAATTTAGAAAGCATTGCTTTATTATCTTTTAGCTTCTATGTTGCAGTTGAGAAGACTGATCTTGGTCCTTCAGGGAAAAGTGGTTTCTCTTCTCTGAAAATTTATGGGACTATTATTCATTTCTTTGTCCCTAGTACTCTAAAATATTGCAGTGAAATCTTGTAGTTGTGATTTTCTTCTGGGAGACAGTCTAAAATTCAAATTCATCTCTTTGTATTGAAGCTTTAAAACCCAAATTTCTCTAATTATGTATGTACATATATACACATATATAATCATTCTATTATTTTGTAAATGTATTTCATGTGTGTGTGTGTGTGTGTGTGTGTGTGTGTGTGTGTGTATGGGCTTGAACTCAGGGCCTTGGCATTGTCCTTTAGATTTTTTGCTCAAGGCTAGTGCTCTACCATTTAAGTCACAGCTATTTTTAATGGCTTTTTGGAGTTAATTAGAGATAAGAATCTCACAGACTTGCCTGCTCAGTCTGACTTTGAACAATTCTCAGATCTCAGCCTCCTGAGTCACTAGCAGAATGGCATGGCTCTGAACTCTTATTAGTTGCATTTTTGAGGCCTCTACACTTGGTCTATTTTCTCCTGTTTTTTTTTCCTCTCTGCTTGTACCTGTGTCTTTCATGCTCACAACTTTCCTCAGATGTTCAGTGATGGCTTTCTTTTTTTTCCTCTTTTTTTTTTTTTGGTCAGTCATGGGGCTTGAACTCAGGGTCTGGATGCTGTCCCTGAGCTTTTTCCACCCAAGGCTTGTGCTCTACCACTCTGAGCCACAGCACCACTTCTGACTTTCTGGTGGTTTATTGGAGATAAGAGTCTTTGGACTTTCTTTCCCAGGCTGGCTTGGAATTGTGATCCTCAGATCTCAGCCTTCTGAATAGCTAGGATTATAGGTGTGAGCCACCAGCACCTGGTGGACTTTCTATCTTTAAGAATGAGGCCCCAGGGAAGTGGCGCTGTGGCTCAAGCAGTAGAGCGCTCTCCTTGAGCTGAAGAGCTGAGGGACAGCGCCCAAGCCCAGAGTTCAGGCCCTACAACTGACCAAAAAAAAAAAAAAAAAAAGAATGAGGACCCAGGAAACCTAATCAGAGGCTTCATGCAGAGTGAAGCTAATTGCCTGTAGGATGTTCTGTCTGAGCCATTAGTTGTTGAACTTCCTTGCCCTATACTAATTTTTTGAGGGTTTTTTTTTTTGGTCAGTCGTGGGGCTCGAACTCTGGGCCTGCGTGCTGTCCCTGTGCTCTTCAGCTCAAGGAGGCGAGTGCTCTACCACTTGAGCCATCGCACCACTTCTGGTTTTCTGAGTGGTTAATTGGAAAGAAGAGTCTCACGGACTTATGGACTTTCCTGCCTGGGCTGGCTTTGAACCGAGGCCCTCAGATCTCAGCTTCCTGAGTAGCTAGGATTACAAGCATGAGCCACCAGCGCCTGGCTTTTTTTGAAGTTTTTTTCTTTGTTAGACTTTCCCAAGAAGTCACTTCTAAACTTCCAGCACAATGTAACTCTAACTTCCAGCATGATGAGTACCTCAACAGGGCAGAAGGCAAGAGGGTTCAACATTGAGCATGTAAGCTTTTGCTTAATTCCCATTTGGTATTGTACCCTGGTGTATCCTTAGGTGTATCTTTTGTTTTCTAGTCCATGGAAGTATTATTTTGCCCTCTCCATGCAGGGATGTCTAGCCTTATACTTAAATGAAGGAAAGGCAGTTGATTGACTACAAGCAAGGTGTATTAGTTTCCCAGGGCTGCTGTAATTAAATATCCCAAACTAGAGGAGTGAAAACCACAGAAATGTGTATTAGCTCAACAGCTTGAGAGGCTAGAAATTCAAGGTCAAAGTCTGCAAGCTCATGCTCCCTCTGGTGGCTTGCTGGTAGTCTTTGACATCCTTGGTTTATTTAAAAGCCACTTCCATCAGAACCACATGGTGTCCTTTACATGGCTGTCTTCTTCTAAGGACAACAGTCAGACTGGATTGGAGTCCGTTACTCAAATAGGACTTCAGTTGAACTAACTACAGTTGTAATTAGGACCTCAAGCATATTCTTTGGAGGGGAAGATACAGTTCATCTTCCTAATGATGAGGAAAGGATTTGCTATTCTAATTTTTCCTTCTCCTTTGTTGCTGGGGATGGAAGCCAAGGCCTTGCACTTGCTAGGCAAGTGCTCTGCCACTGGGCTGCAGTCTGTGTCCTGTTTCCCTTTCCCTTTAGTTTTTTCTTAAATAGTAACCTTTGTTTTTGGTGGTACTGGGGTTTGGATTCAAGGCCCCAGGCTTGCTAAGCAGCTGCTGTCCGGCTGAGCCCTGCCTTCAGTTCTTCTTCAACAGATTTCCTCCCTGCACCTTTCGTCTTACCTTCTCAAGCAGCACCTTCTTTCTAAATTCTTCAAATTAAATCTCACCTCACAATAAAATCTTTAAGGAGAAGAATCTTTCTAATCTCGCTGTAAGTGAAAAGTGGTGAGAGATGGAGGGAGGGGGAGAGGCAAGGGGAGAAGCCGAGTTGCTGATAAAGCCCATACTGTATTACAGCTCTCTACCTCTGAAGTGGATGAATGATCATCAATTTAGTCCTCAGCGCTCACAGAGAGAATGGCTGAAAGCAATGTGACAATGCATACAGACAGCTATATAGAAAATGGTGGAGACATAAAATTGAACAGAATGAAGTGACAATGGATACTCTGGCTCATGAGAAAATAACAGACTGATCATTCTGAAAGATTATCTTACTTCAAGACTCACAGAACCAGAAAGCAATAAGCAAAAATACAGCAGATTTTATTTTTTAGAGGGGAGTGCCAATCCTAGGGTTTGAATTCAGGGCCTGGGCACTGTCCCTTGAGCTTTTATGCTCAAGGTTAGCACTCTACCACTTGAGCCATAGCTCCACTTTTGGATTTGTTTATCTTTTTTCTTTTTTTCCTGCTGGTTTTGGGACTTGAACTTAGAGCCAGGTACTATCCCTGAGTATTTGTGATCAAGGCTAGCACCCTATTACGTGTGCCATAGCTCCACTTCCAGCTTTTTGGTGGTTAATTGGTGCTAACAGTCAGATGGTGGACTTTCTTGCCCAAACTGGCTTACTGCAATCCTCTGATCTCAGCCTTCTGAGTGGCTAGGATTACAGGCGTGAGCCACCAGCACCCAGCTTATGTCTTTAAATTGTTATACCTATCTAAATTAACAATGCAAAAAAAGTCTTTTATTTTTTTGGGTCTGGTCGTGGGGCCTGAACTCTGGGCCTGGGCGCTGTCCCTCAGCTCTTCAGCTCAAGGCTAGCGCTCTACCACTTGAGCCACAGCGCCACTTCCAGCTTTTTTCTTTTTGCTTATGTGGTGCTGAGGAATCGAACCCAGGGCCTCATGCATGCAAGGCAAGCGCTCTACCACTGAGCCACCTTCCCAGCCCCCAAATCCAGTTATCTTTAATGAGCTGACAAAAATGTTTACAAGTCATGACAGAATTACAATTTTCCCCCCGCTGATTATGTGTGCTTTGATTGATTTCAGTTTGCATGGTCACTGTTATAGTTCCACAGTGCTGTACAAAGTGAGAATGCCAGCCCCGGGTAATGGTGGCACTCTCATACCTATAATCCTAGCTACTCAGGAGGCTGAGCTCTGAGGATCGAAGTTTAAAGCTAGCCTGGCCAGGAAAATCCATGAGACTCTTATCTCCTTAACCACCAAAAAGCTGGAAGTGGAGCTGTGGCTCAAGTAGTAAAGCACTAGCCTTGAGCAAAAGAGCACAGGGGCAGTGCCTAAGCCCTGAGTTCAAGCCCCAGACCAGCACCAAACCAAACCAAACCAAACTAAAACTGAGAATGCTTGTGTAGTTTATTTCTCAGCAGTGCTATAGTAAAATGAGTCAACATCTCAGACCATCAACAACCTGCTTTGCCATTTGTTCACTGTGGGATCATGGGCAAGATTTTGGACATCGTTAAACTTCATTTTTTTCTCATTTGTATAAAGGTTCACATGATTTACAACCTCAAAGATTAATGGAGATAAACTGTGTGTTAAGAGTTAAAAGCAATTTCATCCATGGGCTCCAAAAATACCCATAATCATCTTATCTCTCTTTTCCAAGATGTCTATTTGGAGACATCAGTTCTTGACATATTCACAATCTGCAAGTATGTGACCCTTGTCCTTAGCAAATTGGCCTCCTTAGCACTATTTGTTTTCAGGTCCAATTCCCTAATCCCATAGGTTAAGTGTCTCTAAAAAAGAAAGAAAAGAAAAAGAAAACACTCGAGTCTCTAAAGCACTGCATTAATTTTGTGGGGGTATAATGAAACAATTGAGTTAAAGCTAAGGGCACATATGCCATTATGATAGGCCAGAATTTGGGGATCCCTTGTTTCTTTAGAACTTTCCAAATGAGAGTAATGAGATCGCCTGCCTCTTATGAGAATAAAAGATGTTAGTGTTACAGAAACATTTGTGATTAATACTACCACCACCACCACCACCACCACCACCACTACTATTCCGTTTAAGTGTCCTGATTCAGCACTGTTATCCATCCAGTAATGCAAACCAACAACCTAGGAGCTACAAAAGTCATCTTCCTTTAGTTTCCTTCTTAGTCTGCCACTCAGGCTCATTGCTTTTACTTTATTTATCTTTTGTATCTTCAGACTCACAGCCATAGATCATGCAACCACCAATTCTCCTAAATTCCCAAGAGCCTCCAAACAGGGGGAAGACTTGTGGATTTCATCCATTCTCTATACTGAAGTGAAAGGGACTTCTTTATTCTTTAGATTTAACCTTCCAACCTTCCTTTCCTTCCTTCTTTTCTTCTTTTCTCTTTCTTTCTTTTTCTCTCTCTCTTTTCTTTCTCTTTTTCTCTTTCATTCTCTCTTTCTATTTCAATGCTGGTACTGGGTCTTGAACCAAGGATCTTGGGCTCTCATTTGTATTTTTCTCTCATAACTGGTACTTTACCACTTCAGCCACACCTTCAGGCCAGAATTTTTTGGCTGGGTAACTGGAGGTGGAGTCAAGGGAACAACTCTGTCTGGGCTGGCTTTGAACTACAATTCTCAGATCTCAGCCTCCTGTGTGGCTAGGATTCTAAGAGGGTGCCATCAGTGCCCAGCTTGATTATCTTATTTCTTCAAACACTTCACTACTCTTTGGCTCTCGTATATCTCTTCTAGTAAATGTTTCTATCATCTTTAAAAAAAATGTCACTCGTTTCTCATTGAATGCAGAAAGAAGAAAATGTATCCTTGATTACAGCCCCAAAGCCCTTCGTGATCGCCTATCAGCCTTGTGGCAATCCGGTGTACCCTCAAGCCACAATGACTTGCTGTCAGGCCCTGCTGCCATCTGCTCACCCTCAGACTGATATGCATAATCAATCATGCCCGGCAACCATTTCCCACTTTTCCCTTGCTCCTAGAGTCTTGACTCTTTTTTTTTGTCGGGTACTGAATAACAATACACTCAGGGAAGGAGAGCTCCAGCACATAAATCATGAATGTACTAAATCAATCATGGAAGAAATGCCATTTCTCTTTATCAGTGATTGGTGTGGAGGAGCCTATGATTCAGTTCTAAATAATGTGAACTGAATAGAAATCTGTTGGAGGCTTCTGGGAACTTTTATCTTTCTTGAGCTAGAGAGCAAGATGCAGCTGGGCACCACTGGCTCACACCAGTAGAATCCTAGCTACTCAGGAGACTGAGAACCTGAAGATGGTGGCTCAAAGCCAGCAGCCAATCAGGGCAGGAACGTTCATGAGATCCTCTTTCTTCCAATTAACCACCAAAAGCTAGAAGTGGAGTTATGGCTCAAGTGATGGTGTCAGCCTTGAGTGAAAAAAGCTAAGGGAGAGTGCCCAAGGCCCTGAGTTCAAGCCATAGTACCTCACAAAAACAGACCAGAAAAAAAGATGAAAAACAAAACGAACAAAAAATAAAGAGCAAGATGCTAGAAGTTCCTGTCTTCTTGTCTTTGAATGGAGTTGAGGATGTGATGGTCATCTTGTAGCCATGTGAGAAAAACCAACAAACCTACATAGAAGCTGACTCAGAACACTGTTATCTTAAGCTACCGAATTAGCTAGTCCAGAAACCACCTATTCAGGTAATTCTTTCCTATTTGTTCAAGCCTACTGCAGTTGGACATATTCTGTTACACCAGAAAGCTTTGAAACAATAAGAAAACTTCCTTACTGTGTCAAATCCTTATTATTTTAATCCCACGCAGATTTTTACTTTTATTTTTCCTAGGCTCTGTCACTGAGCTTCTTTACTCAAGGTTAGCACTCTACCACTTTGAGGACTGGCAAAAGAGAGACAGACAGACAGACAGAGACAGAAAGAAAGAGAGAGACAGAGAGAGAAATGTGTGATTTTTTTCTTGGAGGATCAAGTCAGGAAGATTTTTGTCCTTTGTTTCTAAGTATGCAACTTGAAATTACTTACTTGCACATAATCTTTCTGGGTGACAATATCCTTTTGATCAGTTACTTTAAACTTCTGGTAATAACGTTCATCTTCCATAATCTGCTGATAAAATTTCTTTTTCCCCATCATATTGTAAGCACTACACATTCCCTATAAGGAAAATAGGAACACATATTTTACAATGGTGGTATATTTCACTCTTTTGGAAGTATTGGGGTTTGAACTCAGGGCCTCATGTTTTCAAGGTAGGCATTCTATTACTTGAACCATGCTCTCAGCCTTATATTATTTTTTTTCAGGCACTGTCTTATCTTTTTTGCTCAGGCTGGTCTTGGACTGCAAGTCTTCTAGTTAAACTACCTGTGCAGCTTGTATGACAGAAGTGAATCACCACATCTGACTTTTTTTGCGGAGCCTTGCTACTTTTTACCCTAGCTGGCCTTAAACTATAATCCTCCTGATTCCTACCTCCCAAGTAGCTGAGATTACAAATATAAGCCAGTGCACCCAGTCAAAGATAGTAGTATAATACTTTTTCTGATCAGATGTAAAGCACACACTCGATATATCCTTTTTACAAATATACTACTTTTCCCTTTCTCCTGACAGCATGATAGTAGAAAGGCTACATTTATAAAGAAGAGATTATATAGGAAAAAACTGGTGGCATTCGGGTTTGAACTCAAGGCCTTGCACTTGCTAAACAGGCAGTTTGAGCCATTCGTCCAGCCTTTTGTCCTTAATTAAATCTATCTATCTTGTATGTATGTATGTATGTATGTATCTATCTATCTATCTATCTATCTATTTTCATTGTGACAATTCTGGGGATTGAACTCAAGGCCTGGACACTATCTCTGAGCTTTTGTGCTCAAGACTAGCACTCTATCACTTGAACCACAGCTCTACTTCTGGCTTTTTGGTAGTTAATTAGAGAGAAGAGTTTCATGGATTTTTCTTTTTCTTTCTTTTTTTTTGGGTCCAGTCGTGGGGCCTGAACTCTGGGCCTGGGCTCTGTCCGTCAGCTCTTCAGCTCAAGGCTAACGCTCTACCACTTGAGCCTCAGCGCCACTTCTGGCTTTTTTCTTTTTGCTTATGTGGTGCTGATGAATCGAACCCAGGGCCTCATGCATGCAAGGCAAGCGCTCTACCACTGAGCCACCTTCCTAGCCCCTTTCATGGATTTTTCTACTTGGGCTGGCTTTAAACCATGATCCTCAGATCTCAGCCTTCTCAGTATCTAGGATTAAAAGCATGAGCCACCAAAACTTGACTGCTTATTTTTTTTAGCCATACTGAGGTTTGAACTAGAGCTTAGTGTTTTGCTAAGCAGGCATTCTACCATTTGAACCAGCTCTCCAGCTCCTCCTTTGAAAATAACCCTTGTGTTGGTTACTTTCAAGCTAAAGTCTTGATTTATGCTTGGGGCAGCCTAAGCTTTGATCTTACCAGCTCATTCTCAAGTCTGAGGATGACAGCTATGCCAGGGCACCTAGCTATTGTGTTTCCCCTGTGCTGGTATAACAGGTATGTACCACCATACCTAGCCATTGAGTGAAATGGAGTGTCACAAACTTCTATGTCCTGGTTAGCCTCAACCTATGATCTTGCATCACCCCCTAAGTCTCTAAGATGGCAGGCTTGAGCCACTATGGCCAGCAAATTATTTTTCAAATAGGGTTTCACATATATGCCTGGCCTAGCCAGGCCCAGCCTTCTATTTATGATTCCCACATAGCTGAGATAACAGATGTGCGCCACCACATTCAGCTATTTATTGGTTGAGATGGGGTAGGGTGAGTCTCATAAACTTTGTGCCTGTCTTGTTTCAAACTGCAATACTCCTGATCTCAGGATCTTGAGCCAGGATATAGGAGTGAATCACCATATATGGCATAGGGATTTTTATTTATTTTTGTGCAGGTCCTGGGACTTGAACTCGGTACCTGGCCACTGTCCCAGAACTTTTGTGCTCAAGGCTAGCACTCTACCACTTGAGCCACAGCTCCACTTCTGGCTTTTTAGTGGTTAGCGTGTGTTGCAGGCTTTCCTGCCCTAACTGGCTTTGAACCATGATCCTCAGATCTCAGCCTCTTCAGAAGCTAGGATTACAGGTGTGAGCCACCAGCGTCCTGGCACAGGTGGTTTTAACCTACTTACCATTTGTTTCTATAGCTTTAGTTGCACAATTTTAAAATGCAGCTAGAGAATTAGAGTGCACAATCCTCAACAGATCAGTTTTGCTTTTAAAATCAATTTCTCTCCCTTTAAAACGTTCTTTCCCTTTAAAAGATGAAAAAAAAAACCCTATAACCTCATTTGTACTGTCGATGCAAGGAAAACTGATCTGGTGAGTATGCAGGTTGCCCTAGGAGCTGCAGTAATACATAATACTAAGACTGACTCTTTTCTGTGTTAGTACATTGTTCTCAAATGGAAACATGTACGTTTCAAGTTGCTTAGGCCTCCCTCCTCTTCAGACTTCATTCTCAACCAAAGAGAAGCAGATAAAAGATTTTTTTCTTTTCTTCTCAAATGTCAACAGTTTCTATTCAAGGAAAGCATCTGGGAGATCAGAGACCAAAGAATGACAGAAAATAAGGAGGCTCAAATGCTGTCTCGATCTATTAGCACCCAGTCTTAGTTTCCCTATCCTTGTGCTGAGAACTGAACATAGAGTGGGAGAGATTAAGTATTCCCCACATTTATAAGCACATGCTGACTCTTCTAACACATTTATGTTATCTGTTTGTGCTTCTGTCCACAAAGAGTCTGCTTATGTAGAAGGAGGCTGAAATTCAAGAAGAAAACACAAATATCTTTTGGTTCCAATTTCTCTTTCCCCTTGCATCTCAGAATGTGTTATTTGTGAAAGTATGGTGCTTCTGATAGGGAGGAAGTAAAAGAGTGCTTCAAAGATCAAACCCCAGAATTTATGTTCCTTTTACTTAGCACACATCACAATAGTTAGCCTGCACATATTTTCTACTCCAATGTTCACTTTTGTTATCTGGAATCTTCCTGATTATTTATTTTTTTGTGGGGTGTGGGAGAGAGTGGTAAGTGCTGGAGTTTGAACCCAGGACATCTCATTTGCTAAACTTGCTTGGCTTGTATTCTACCACTTGAGTTTCATCCCTAGTGTGACTTTTTGTTTTGTTTTGTTCTGGTCCTGGGGCTTAAACTCAAGGCCTTTGCACTGTTCCTGAGCTTCATTTTGCTCAAGGCTACTGCTTTACTACTTCAGCTATAGCTCTACTTCTGTTTTTTTTTATTACTTTGGTGGGTATAAGAATCTCATGGGCTTTTCTGCCGGGGTTGGCTTTGAACTGCAATCCTCAGATCTCAGGCTCTTGGGTAGCTAGGATTACAGGTGTGAGCCATTGACACTTTAGTTTGACTTTTTGATAGTTAATTGGAGATGGCCTCTCCTATTCTCAGACTTTTCTGCCTGAGGTGGCTTTAGACCATGATCCTCTAGGTCTCAGCTTTCTGAATAGCTATGATTGTAGACATGACCACCAGCAGCTCTTCCTGATTTCATTTTTTCTTTCCAAATTCCAAAGCTGAGAAAACATGTATGGAAAATAAAAAGAGATATGCCAGTGCAATAATCCTAATGTGCTAAATTGAAGGGATAGAAACAGTTTACTGAAAATATGAGAGGGAGCCTTCCTATACGTAGATCATTTTTGCCTTCCAATTCATTTATTTCTTTATATAATAAACATCATAAGGAAATATAATATTGGCAAATCTCTCCATTATGCTTTCTTATAATTGATTTCCTGTGGGTTGCAATTAACCAGCCCTATAGTGACAGCAGTGAAGGTAAAACACAGTTCAGTGTACCCTGGACAGATAAGAAGACGTACTTTAAGACTTTCTTTAGGTGTAACTACATTTTATTTAGCTGAGATTACTTAGAAAAGATCATTATAGTGTGTTACTCCTACTGTCTTCCTCAGCAAACCAACACCCCATACCAAGACCCAGTTTTCTTGTTTGTATATCACCTTAACTGTGATGGCCCGTTCCAGTCCCTTGGCTCAAGAAAACCATGCCCATTTTGAGAGGGTATTGGAAAAAAGTTTTCTGTCAATGCCAAGATGTCCTTTGTCAAAAATCTGCTGTGTATCCTGAGCTTCAGGAAAATAGAAACCAATGAGCAAGAAGAGCGTGGCCTTGGGAGAATAGAATGGGTGAAATCTAAGTGCGAATTCCAGGATACTAGTCAACATGAGAAGGATTCAAGAAGTGGGTTCTGTTCTTAAGGGGATTATTGTCCATGCTGGCCTAAGCCTAAAGCAAGGAAGACTCTGTTTGGGAAAAATAAAAGCAAGGCAAAAGGGGCCTGATGGTGTGGTTCAAGTGTACAGTGCCTGCTTAGCAAGTATAAGAGCTTGAGTTCAAACTCCAGTACCACAAAAATAAAAAAGAACAAAGAAAGTTTAAAAAAATCTATGTGTGGATATATATTTTTTTTTTGTCGGTCGTGGGGCTTGAACTCTGGGCTTGGGCGCTGTCCCTGCACTCTTCAGCTCAAGGCGAGCACTCTACCGCTTGAGCCACAGCGCCACTTCAAGTTTTCTAGTGGTTTATTAGAGATAAGAGTCTCACAGACTTTCCTGCCCGGGCTGGCTTTGAACCACAATCCTCAGATCTCAGCCTCCTGAGTAGCTAGGATTACAGGCGTGAGCCACTGGCGCCCAGTTTATGTGTGGATAATTTTATGGGAAAAATGAGGATATAGAGCAAACCATTACTAATGATTAATCCAAAAGAGTGATAAATCATGACGTATTTTCTTTGTAAATCTCTGGGCAAGTTCCATCATTTTCCAACCGTTCTTTCAGAATTTAAAGAAAAAAAGCCTGTTTCCTGGTCAGGGAACAAAAAAACCCCAACAAAATAAAAATTTTAATGAAGTTATAATACAATATTCTAATGAGTTCAAATGTCCACACAGTGATTTCCTGCCTCTAAGATTCTCAATTTCTCAAGCCTGGACACAGGAGAGGTTGGGCTGGAATTACCCAGGAGAATTTTAGTTCCTGGAAATGCTCCATTATACAACCTCAGGAAAGAAACAACTGATATTTTATAGGGACAACTGTTAGTTTATTCCATAAATGAATGTGGCATGAATTTATCCTTCAAATGTAAGCTAAATTTATACTATCCCATCAATCCACATAATGAAGAAATATTAATGTTTTTGAAGCAGTACATTGCATTATGAAAACATGCAGCTCATTTGATACATGTCCAAACCAGAATTGATTGCTTGAGAACATGGAGCAAAATAGTCCCTTTCCTTTTCTAATACTCTTCGGGGTCGAAATACTGCTATGTTGAATGGGACCAGCTACTGCCAAGCCGTACAATCTTCAGTACTGAACACAGGTCACAACTCATGATTTCACATTGGCCAAACATTTTGTGTAAAATATATCCAGAAGAGGACTTTTTATTTTTTTGCATTACAAGGATTCAACCTATGACCATAAACATGCTAGGCAAGTGCTCTACCACTGAGCTACAACTCCAGACACGGAAAAAACTAACCTTTGCTGTATGGTTTAGTAAATAGGAGAATTTCTACCTTTTAAACTCAAATACAGTTAGGTTAAAGATTAAAGGAATTAAACTTCTGCTAGAACTCCTTGCTACTAAAAGTATGGTTTGGCTGGGTGCCAGTGTCTCATGCCTATAATCCTAGCTACTCAGGAGGCTGAGATCTGAGGATTGTGGTTAGAAGCCAGCCCCATGAGAAAAAAGTATCCCTGTGAGACGCTCATCTCCAATGAACCACTCAAAAACCAGAAGTGGAGCTGTGGCTCAAGTGGTAGAGTGCTAGCCTTGAGCTGAAGAGCTGAGGGACAGCGCCCAGGCCCAGAGTTCAAGCCCCACAACCAACAAAAAAAAGAAGTTGAATTAATATAAAATGTACATCATGGAATATCACCTCATTCGATGCCATTAATACGTTTTTCCCGCTGAAATACTTGCATTTACAGCTATCAGTCTGAAGAAAAATTTTAAACACTATGTAGGGTGGAAAATTTTCACCATTAAATCTGAAATAAAGACAAAAAATAGTTATATGCCGTCAGTTTGGGGGTTTCATTATTTCTTCCCCTTGGACTTTAGGTAGTTCATACCATTTCTCAAATATAGAGCCAAGGCTATATGCCAAGAGCATGTAAAAATACAGTGATGAGCTGGTTTCTGGTGGCTCACACTTGTAATCCTAGCTACTCAGGAAGCTAAGAGCTGAGGATCCTGGTTCAAAGCCAGGCTGAGCAGACAAATCTGAGACACTTTTATCCCCAATTAACCAGCCAAAAGTCAAAAGTGGAGATATAACTCAAGTGGCGTAGTATCAGCATTCAGCAAAAAGGCTAAGAGAGAGTGAGAAGCCCTAAGTTCAAGTTCCAATACTAGCACAAAAATCATAAGTAAAAATGCAGAGTGAAGCCAGGCCTGTGGTGGCTCACACCTGTAATCCTAACTACTCAGTAGGATGAGATCTGATGATTACAATTGAAAGTCAGCCTTGGCAGGAAAGTTCATGAGCTTCTCATCTACAACTAACCACCCAAAAGCCAGAAGCAGAGCTGTGGCTCAAGTGGTAGAGCACTAGCCTTAAACAAAAAAAGCTCAGGGGCATTGCTCAAGACTGAGTTCAAGCCTGGGACCAGAAAAAAAAAACCCACAGGATGAAAAGGCCTACATGCTGGTGTGCTCACAACTATCCTCATACCTATGTCAGACCAGAAGCAGAGTGGGAGATGAGACTTACTCTCATGGCAACTTTAGCTCTTTGTTATTTTTGATGTGGTACTGGGTTTTAAACTCAGTACCTCATACTTACTAGGCAGGCACTCTACCACTTAAGCCATGTTGTCAGTCCCATTTTCCTTTATTGCTTTTGCTTGGATAGAGTATCATACTTTCTTTTGCCAGTCCTGGGTCTGAGGCTAGTCCTCAGGGCCTGGGCATTGTCCCTGAGCTTCTTTTGCTCAAAGCTAGCACTCTACCACTTGAGCCACACTGCCACTTCCAGTTTTTTCTGTGTATGTGGTGCTGAGGAATTGAACCCAGGGCTTCATGCATGCTAGGCAAGCATTCTAACACTAAGCCACCTTCCCAGCCAAGTCTCCTATTACTTTTTGCCTGGGGCAGGCCTCACTCTGTGTGTGTGTGTGTGTGTGTGTGTGTGTGTGTGTGTGTGTGTGTGTGTGTGTAGCTCTCCTTTATAGCTGGCATGGCCTCACTCTGTGTGTGTGTGTGTGTGTGTGTGTGTGTGTGTAGCTCTCCTTTATAGCTGGTATGACCAGTACATTGAGATTGTGTTTTGCTAACTTCCCACCTCCTCTGGGCTGGGGAGGCTGTCATGAAACTGCCAACCTCCCAACCTCCCCTTCTCAAGTAGCTGGCTTGCAAGTGTGCACCATGCCCATTCTCTCATGGCAACTTTTGGCCAGTGTCATGCCTTAGATTCTTCACATAACAGATGTAAATAAAGACAACCCATTTACTTTATAATTATATCCTGAGAAGTTGGGAGGACTTAAAAATAATTTCTAAGACTTCTTATTCACTATGTACTCCTTGGAATAAATAAATCAGCATAGATATATTACCTGAATCTGACTTTATACTTCATGCTAGGATCTTTGACAAGTTGGGCCTCTAAAGGACTCACTTTCTTCAGTATTTCATACGATGCAAAATATTCCTGAAATAGATGATAGAGCTATAAATAGAAAATACTGTCCTAACCAATTTGCTGACATAAGAGAGGATGAGTGTCAAAGTGTTCAGAATACTGTCCTGGGCTTGGAATTCTGAAGAGGTAGTTTCCTATCTTGGCTTTTCCATTTATCATCAGTGCAGGCTTGAATCAGTCAATTAATTTTTTGGGTCCTCAAATTTGAATATCTGTCCACAGGCATTTTTATCTCCCTAGGACAACACTTTACAATCTACCGTAATTACCTACAAACTTGCCCGTGTCTCTACTATAGACTTTAAGCATCATGAAAGTAGGGACAGTTTCTTTCTTCTTTCACTATAGTTCTAATGTCTAGTACAGTGCTTGAAATATACTAGATGCACAACAATCATGTGAGGTTGACTGAATCACTGTAACATGAGGATGGCTACTGTAAGCTACTTGATTTTTCTTTCTGTTTATGTGGTGCTGAGCAATCAAACCCAGGGCCTCATGCATGCAAGGCAAGTACTCTACCACTGAGCCACATTCCCAGCCCTACTAGACTTTTTTTTTGGGTGCTGGTCCAGGGGTTGAACTTGGGGCCTGGGTACTATGCCTGAGAGTTTGTGCTCAACTTTAGCACTCCACCACTTGAGCTATAGTTCCACTTCTGGCATTTTGGTGGTCAATTGGCGATAAAGAGTCTCATGGATTTTCCTACCTGTGATGGCTTTGAACCATGATCCTCAAATCTCAGTCTCCTAAGTAACTAGGATTACAGGTGTGAGCCACTGGTGCCCATCGAGTTACTAGATTTTTAGCACCCTTTAACATTCATAATCTTATTTAATTCTAACAACAGTAATAGTATTAGAATACTGTTACCCATTTTACAAAGGAGAAGGTTGAGGCAGGGTGTTTTTGTAATTTACACATCAGAATGAAGGTAGTAAAAGGGAAACTTAGATATTAGACTCTTGAATGCCCACTCAATGATAGTCAACCTTATGCTCATGATAATCACATAAGATATGTAATAAAAGGCTCTTTATGACTGTGAATGTAGCTTAGTGGTAGAGTGCTTGCCTACCATACATGAAGCCCTGGGTTTGATTCCTAAGAAAAAAGTCAGAAGTGGTGCTGTGGCTCTAATGATAAAGTGCTAGCCTTGAGCAAAAGAAGCTCAAGGACAATGCCTCAGGCCCTGAGTTCAAGGGCCAGGATGGGTAAGAAAAAGACTTTTTAGAAGAGCTACCAGTGCCCAATAAAATTATTTTAATGTGGCTATCATATTAATGTGGTTACTGGAATTCTGAATTATTTTACTAGGGGAATATATAGTACTATATAAGGAAGGTTTCATGTTACGCTGGGATTGCTGGAGTTGTTTTGGAGGGAAGGTATCATATACATTAAAAAAAACTGTGGACATGAAATCCAGAAAGCTCCTTTCTTTTTAAAAATATTTCTTTTTGTTAAGTACCTGTACAAAGGGATTTCAATTCTACAGGTCAGGTTGAATACAATGCATCTTGATTAATGTCACCTTTTTCATAATTCTCCCTATCTTTCTCTATCCCATACCTACCTTCAAGTTGTTTAGTTCAAGTTTTACATAATGTACATTGAATATAATGTCACATTTGCTCACCCTTCTTCCTTAAATTCATGTGGACACCCTTAATGATCCCTTTTGAAGAACATGTTCCAGCTTCCTGGTATTCATGTTGTTAAATGTTAGTTGTTCAAAGGAATTACACTGTTAGACTCCTCCCCTAAGTATAAATCCTTTACATGATTTGTTATTTACTCAACTGGGATCATATTCTTTATGCTGTTCTGACATCTTTATCTCTAACAACCTATCTTGGTTATCTTTCTATTGCAGAGTCACGTTAATTCTGTGAGGTTTAACACTGCCAAACTGCCTTGCCGTAACACTAAAGTTAAAATGAAATTGTATATATTATAGAATACATTCACAGAAATGGGCTTGTTGGCAGAAAGCAAGAGCATTTTTATTTTATTTTTTGTGATTTTTATTTAATTTTGCCAGTTCTGGGGCTTGAACTCAGGACCTGGGCACTATCCCTGAGCTTCTTTTGCTCAAGGCTAGCACTCTACACTTCCGACCTTTTCTATTTATGTGGTACTGAGGAATCAAACCCAGGGCTTCATGCATGCTAGACAAGCACTCTACCACTGAGCCACATTCCCAGCCCACTTATTTTTTTTATTTAATTTTATTTTATTTGTGAACATACTGTACAGAGGGGTTACAATTGCATGGGCAGGATAATGCGTACATTTCTTACCAAGCATTGCAGCCTCCTCTGTTTACCCTTCACATCCCTTCCCAGCCTCCCCCCACTGCCCCAATCCCAATCCTTCTCTTTCCCCCCTCCCCCCCCGCTCCCCCCCCCACCGATGTTGTAAAGCTCGTTTTGGACATGACAACTTGTACTTCTCATTGTTGCAACAGGTCCACCTGTATCCTTAAACAACTGGTTTTTCCCCATCTCCTCTACAAGTTATACTGACAGGGGTTATACTGTGGGGGAGGGACATACAAAGCAACAAAGAGATAATTTTGTAAATGCATTAGAAACACATGCATGAAAGAAAAAAAACATTAAAATACATATCTAAGGGTTCATTTTCCTGACATTACATTATCTGACCTTTTCTGCTTGACTCATACATATACTAGATATTGCAAATAAGGGAAACCATGGGACCTGTGTTTCTTTGGCCAGCCCACTTATTTTAATATACTGTCCTTTTTTCATATTAGCATCAATTAGTTGTACAAGGCAGTTTTGTTTTGACATACCCATATATGCATAAAAGTACTTTTAATTCAGAGGGTTTTTGTTTATGTTTCTAGTGCAGAGGACTGAACCCAGAGCCTCATACATACTTAGCTTACAATGCTACCACTTAGTTACTCCCCCAGCCCCTAATTTAGAGGTTTTTATTGTTGGAAGATCACCATGTCACATCTTCAAGTAAGTAACCAAATTAAAAAACTGAGAAACTAGTCAGTACTGATGGCTCAAGCCTGTAATCCTAGCTACTCAGGAGGCTGAGATCTGAGGATTACCAAAGCCAGTCCATGCAGAAAAGTCCCTGTGAGAGTCTTATTTCCAGTTCACTCCAAAAATAACAAACAAAGAAACAACACTGGAAGTGGAACTGTGCCTCAACATGGTATAGCATTAGCCTTGAGCAAAAGAACTCATGGACAGCAACCAGGCCCTGAGTTCAAGTCCTATGACCAACAAAAAAATATACACGCAGACACAGATACACAGACACAGACACACAGACACAGACACACACACACACACACACACACACACATATACACACACATGCACCAAAAGAAACTGTCAGGTGACAGTGGTTCACGTCTGTAACCCAAACTATTCAGGAGGCTGAGATCTGAGCCAGGCAGGAATGTTCATGACACTTACCTCCAATTAACCATCCAAAAGCTGGAAGCAGAGCTATGGCTCAAGTGGTAGAGTGCTAGCTTTGAGCAAAAAAAGCTCAGAGAGAGCGCTCAGGCCCTGAGTTCACACCCTAGAACCAGCACAATAAAAAATAATATATACATTTCAGAAAAAGAAGCAACAATCATTCATATTAAAAATAAATTCAAAAATATGCATTTAGGCTTAACAAAAGAAGCAATTCCAGAACCTTACACATCATTATGTCTAAATAGCAGAGACAAAGATAGCTTGCTATTCTATCTTTAATGAACAGACCCTTCAGCTTGATTAGCAATTAAATCTGCCAGAGATTAAAGATAATAAAAATATAATTAAAAATAAGTCTTCCAGAGAAAATAAAAAGAAAAATACATACCGCTGCACAGATTGTATGTTTTAGAAGTCGAAATAATGATTTGTCCAAATAAGTGAGCCAATTTCTCTGTATTATTTGAGCTGAAAGTTTTCTAATAATTATGAGAAGAAAAAGTTAGTTAATATTACATACTTATCATTTTTCTAAAATCTTGGAGAACTTTCAATTTCTGCATCCTTCTCTTGTACTTCCCCATCTCCCATGCTCAGACTGACTTAATGAGGAACATTTAGATATGCTAGTTGGAATAGGTCATTTGCAGAATCTAGTCAGAATGAGAATACAAAATACTTAGGACTATTTCCCTTGTATTAATATTTTCTGGCTGAAACTTTATCAAAAAGCATATATATAATGAATGTATCATCAATAGGCAAAATCATTTATGCCTTAAGATGATTTCACTGCAGTTAGTACTTAACACTATCCGGCCTGCTGTTGGTGCCTCATGCCTGTATTCCTAGCTACTCAGGGGTTTGAGTCCAGCCCAGGCAGGAAAGTCTGTGAGATTTTCATCTACAAAACTACAAAAAAAAGTCAGAAGTAGCGCTGTGGCTCAATGGTAGAGCACTAGCCTTGAGCAAAAGAAGCTCGGTGTCAGTGCCCAGTCTCCGAATCCTAGCTGAGGACAGGCACGAAACAAATAATAACAACAAACATCCCCCCAAAGTCAGTGTCTGTCTAGTTCAAATGTAATGAAATACTAGGTGCAATAACCAAAGTTATAAGAGGCCTAGTTTTCTATTGCAAACTGATAAGCATGATGTAGAAGGTAAAACTTCCTTCCTTGGCTGGGTGCCGGTGGCTCACACCTGTAATTCTAGCTACTCAGGAGGCTGAGATCTGAGGACTGTGGTTTGAAGCCAGCCATGTAGGAAAGTCCATAAGCCTTTTATTTCCAATTAACCAAAGTAAAGCTAGAAGTAGAGCTATGGCTCAAGTGCTAGTCTTGAGCACAAAAGCTCAAGAGACAGTGCCCAGGCCCAGAGTTCAAGCCCCAGGACTGGAAAAAGAAATATAAGGCTCATCTCGGTCAGGTCATAGAATTATTCCACTTTGGCTGGGTGCCAGTCTCTAATCCTAATATTCAGGAGGCTGAGAGCCACAGGCTCAAAGTGGCTCAAAGTGCTATCCTTGAGCAAAAAATGCCACTCAAGAGTGCAAAGCCCTGAGCTGAAGCCCCAGTATCAGCATGCAAGGAATAGATAATAATAAAACTGTTCCACACATTGTAGCAGGATCAAATATGTGTGTGTTAGCGTGCTTTGTAAATTATAAAATAGTAAAATTCAAAGTTATTCAACTTGAAGGTTTTTTTGTGACATTGTGAATTGAACTAGGCTTTTGTGCTTTTAAGTAGGCAATCTGCCACTTGACCACATGCCTCCAGCCCCATTTTATCTCATGTGTGTGTGTGTGTGTGTGTGTGTGTGTGTGTGTGTTGGCATTATGACTTGAATGCTGAGCTCTTGCATGACTTGCTTGCTCTACCATGTGAGCTGGCTTTTTTTTTTCTTTTTGGTTAGTTGGATATCGAGTCTCACTGACTTTCTGACCATGTTAACTTCAAACTGCAGGTACTCCTCCAAATCTCAGCTTCCTGAGTAGCTAGGATTACAGACGTGAGCTACTGATATCCAGCTTTGTCTTCTTGGTTACTTTGAGGTGGGGGAATTGCTTTCTGCCCAGGCTGGTCGAGGCTGTTATCCTCCTACTTGTGCTTTTCTGTGTTGTGTGCAGCTACACCCAACCACTGGTTGAAATGTGTGTGTGTGTGTGTGTGTGTGTGTGTGTGTGTGTGTGTGTGTGCGAGCATGCGCGTGTGTCCTAAGGCTTGAACTCAGGGCTTGGGTGCTGTCCTTGAGTGTTCTTTTGTTCAAGGCTAGTGCTCTACTACTTGAACTATAAGTCTACTTCCAACCTTTTTGGTAGTTACTTGTAGAGAAAAGTCCCAAAATAAAGGAGGAGGCTACAATGCTTGATAAGAAATGTACTCATTATCTTGCCCATGTAATTGTAACCCCTCTGTACAATATTTTCACAATAAAAAAAAGTCTCAAAGGCTTTCCTGCTCAGGCTGGCTTTGAACTGCAATCCTCTGATCTGTCTCCTGAGTAGCTAGGATTACAGGTGTGAACCACCAGTGCCTAGTTAAATCTCACTAACTTTTATGCCTGGGCTTGCATTAAATAGAAATCCTATTTTGTCTCTCAAGTAGCTAACAGGCTTAAACCATCACACTCAGCTGAAGGTCATTTTAAAGCACAAACATCTTTCTAAACTTACCCAACAACACATTTTTGAAATTATCTGGGTAGATTTGGGTAAGTTTGGAAATTGTCCAGTTGTAGAAATGACAAAAGGCTAAAATGGGTACTTACTCTTGTTTTGCCTTTGCCTTTTCTAGTTTTGCTGTTTGTTGTTCCTGGCTTTCAGCTTCTGACTTCTGAACAGGAGAACGTGATTCTCTTGAGATTTTCACTTTCGGAGCAGGAGTATGTGATGCTCTTGAACTTTTCATTTTCCCTACAATACAGCAATTTGAAAATATTTAAAGTAATCCATTAAGGTCAGAATCTATATTCTTGCATCATTTGCACTAGGCTCAAATGCTATATGATTACACTGTTAATTTTAGAACCTTTTCAAAAGAAAGGCAGTGTACGTCTAGTTTTCATTTTTGTGCACTAAAAATATTCTGTGGTATGTGGGAAAATCTGTGAGCCTTCCTAAGTTGCCCTCTCTCCAATCACATCCTCTTTTTACCCCTCCTCCATCCTACAGCTAGAATTAACTTTCAAGCAATAATTCAATCTTATTGCTCTCCTCTTATTACTTCAACCAACTTGCTGGAGACATAGAGCCTAGTGGAGGATTTTTAGATTCTTTTTTTTGGTGGGGGGGTCCGGTCGTGGGGCCTGAACTCTGGCCCTGGGCGCTGTCCCTCAGCTCTTCAGCTCAAGGCTAGCATTCTACCACTTGAGCCACAGCCCCACTTCCGGCTTTTTTCTTTTTGTTTATGTGGTGCTGAGGAATCCAACCCAGGGCCTTGAGCATGCAAGGCAAGCGCTCTACCACTGAGCCACCTTCCCAGACCCGGATTTTTATATTCTTATTTGTAAACTTTTCATCCTAGTTTTGTCAAATAGCTCTGAGACTTGGGGCAAATCAATGAACCTCTTGGTGGTTTAATTCCCTTCTTGGAAAAGTAAGAGGCTGTGTGCTAAATTATGTGATTCTACCTCTAATTTTTTTAAGTTATGCTTTAAAGTATTCCTCTAATTTGGATACAGCCTCCCAAATTCTTAGTCATGATATCAAAATATTTTCAAAACAAAATTCTAGTAATATGTCTCCTTTATGCATTTAATAAGAAAGCTAATACATCCTGTATTTTTGAAGTAGTCATGACCACAAATGGTATTTTGAACCACCTCTTATGACTAACACGGCATGAAAAACACCTCTGCTTTCAATTGGTGACAAAGTCACAGGTACTGCTAATGTTACTGTGGTTTGTTGCCTACACTATAATCAAAAGAAATGCTAATATTCAGTTAGAGGTTAGTGAAAATGAAATTGTCATTTTCTTCCCATCTGAGTTTACCCCTGTAAGTATAAAGTACTCCTGCTCAAATTTAGCACTGAGCTTCCCACATTTATATATCTGATGTGAGGCCTTCTAAGACTGCTGTTTCTCCTTGGGAATGGGGATGGATATAGGGATTGGGATGGGGAAGGGGATGGCTTGGAAAACACAATTCTCCTAGGAACTAGAAAAACAGCCCTTAATTGACACCTGGGATTTGGCTTGGCACTTAGCTAGGTCTTAGTGTTTCCACTTCCTACTACCGCTCATACTTCTAACATCACAGCAAAGTTGCTTCCTTGAATTCACTCCCATATACTATGACAAATACAATACTCTTGCTAAAATGCCCTAGTTTCCTTGAAATGTGCATCGTATTTTCCCAGTAAGAAACTCAACCTCTTCTTTTCACACACACACACACACACAAAGAACACAGGAAGAAGAAAAAAGAAGAAACTCAACCTCTTCAGGGACAAATGTGTTCCTACTGGACGTTTTTTGTTTTTGTTTTTTTGCCAGTCCTGGGGCTTGAACTTAGGGCCTGGGCACTGTCCCTAAACTTCTTTTGCTCAAGGTTAGCACTCTACCCCTTGAGCCACAGCACCACTTCCAGCTTTTTCTGTGTATATTGTACTGAGGAATCGAACCCAGGGCTTCATGCATGCTAGGCAAGCACTCTATCACTAAGTTGCATTCCAAGCCCCCTACTGGTCTGGTCTGGGTACCTGTCTAGATTGGGCTTCCATTTTCTATAAGATTATTATTATTATTATTTTTGCCAGTCATGGGGCCTGAACTCTGGGCCTGGGCACTGTCCCTCAGCTCAAGGCTAGCGCTCTACCACTGGAGCCACAGCACCACTTCCAGCTTTTTCTGTTTATGTGGTGCTGAGGAATCGAACCCAGGGCCTCATGCTTGCAAGGCAAGCACTCTACGGCTGAGCTACCTTCCCAGCCCTTCTATAAGATTATTATAGAAATAGACTGGAATATGAAATACACTGTTCTTATGAGACAGCCCAGGAATATTTTAGGCTACAGCACAGATTGCAAAGGGTTTGAATCCTGGCTTCTGACTTCATATAAGTGATTTTTGTGTGTGTGTGCCTGTCTTGGGGCTTGAACTCAAGGCATGGGTGCTGTCCCTGAGCTTTTTGCTCAAGGCTAGTGTTCTATCTCTTGAGCCACAGCTCCACTACTGTAACTTTTGGTTAATAAGTGTCTCTCGGAATTTTATTCATGGGCTGAGATCCTTCGATCTCAGCCTCCTGAGTAGCTAGGATTTCAGGCGTGAACTAGCAGCTCCCAGTCATATTAGTGATTTTTATTCTAGTTAATATCTATTAATTGCCATTCTGATACCATATTAACCAATAAGTGGTTCCTAGTGAAGGACTTACAAGTGAAGAAAAAAAATCTTGTCAAGAGCCTTTCGCGGCTAAAGGACGTGGCAAATTGAAATTCAAGAAATACTCAGTCTGCAGCCAAAGTGAAACGACCTTTTGTGAGGTTAATCCTAACGCTCAGAGCGTGGACTCTGAGAGGCCTTCCAAAGCCTTCCGGGGTCACCCAAGCGCCCTTGCCTGGTCGATTTAGGCGCCCCGGAGTCCCAGCCCGCGCCACTGGGCGTCCAGTAGTACTGGCATCGAAGGCCAAGCCCCAGAGCCGCTGCGCACCTCCCTCCCCTTGTCTCTGCGCGCCGCCGGCGTAGAACGGACGCTTTGTGTTGCCTAGCAACAGCCAGCGAGCGAGGAGGCGAAGCTTCCTGGAGGGCGGGTCTTCCGAACGCCTGGCCACCTGGACGCGACAAATTGCTGCTGCGCGACGCCGCTTTCAGCCTCCTTGGTTTGAAGAAATTCTTCCTTGAATTGAACTGGCAGTACTGCCGTCACAAACACCTCAGCCCGCTTGCGGTCGAGGGAATCACGGCCCTACCGGGCCTCCGTAGTCGCTTTTCTATAGTAGGCGGGGCCGAGGCCGGGGTGACCCTGCCGGAGCCGCCGCTGCCAGCGACATGTTCAAGGTGAGAACGTGGAACGGGGTTACTGCCGTCATCGCCCCCTCCCGGCTGTCTGAAGTCCGTCCTACGCCCTCGTGGGGCTTCTCTGGGGACCAGGTCCGGCTCGCCGCGAGGCTGTTCCCGCCTCCGGGTCGGCGGCGTCCTGGCCCCGTGGTTCAGTCATGAGTCGGTTCGGGGCGAGTGGCTGCCTGGTGGAGGCGTGACCGCCCAGGGGGAGATGGGATAGGTGTTTTGGGGGGCCGTGCTTTTGTGAATAAAACTCTTGGAAAAGTTCAAGTACTTCCCTCCACAGAACCCCCCCCCGCCCCTGGCTGGCCCTTAGGGATCATGGGTAGGGTTAGGGCAGCTTTGGTTGCTTGGCAGGGTCTGGTTTCTAACCTGGATTGGGGGGGGGGGGGAGAAGGGTCATCTTTGGAGGAGCTGCTGCCGGCTTTGAGGGGCGCTGGTCTGGAAATGGCTGAGAAAGGAAGCTGGAGTCTTACTTTGCTTGCCAGTGAACTTTACTAATATGAACAAGTCGACTCCCTTAGGCCTTGAACTCAGGGCCTGGGTGCTGTCCCTGAGCTTTTTTTTTTTTTTTCCCATTCCAGGCTAGCACTCTACGACTTTGAGTCACATCTCCACTTCCTCGTTTAGGTTTTTGTCTTTTTTTTTTTTTTAATTCGTCTCCTTCGAAAGAGATCAACTTTTACAGTGAGGATTATTTCAGTCTTTCAAAAAACTATGGTACCCTAGTGCTAATAAAGTCCCCAAATTGTACCTTTCTCATTTAAAATTCCATCGTCCTTCAATATGGTTTTGGGCGCATTAGGAAATGCTACAGAATCGGATTGTGCCTGTCCATTTCTGGTATTGCCACTTTTTAGTCATGTGGTCTTGTTTAAGTCATTTGCCCTCTACCTGTTTTACTATTGGTGAAATTAGGGTAATAACCTCCACGCCACAGTGTTTTTACAAGTAAGTTTATGTAAAGCCATCAGAAAAGGCCCTGGTATGTTGTCAGTTTTTACTTTAAGTCAGCTAACTCTTTAGTCATCAGTACAGATACCATAAGCAACTTGCCATTCATTTGATATTTGTGTTAAACACCAATTCATGCTAACAGTGCAGCTCGGTTTTAGGGTTACCCTCGGGAAGGCATATATTGTAGCCTGTTTCAGTTACATGGATACCAAGAATGGAGTTTTATAGTAAAAAGGAGATCGTCGATCCTTCAAAGGCTCTAATTAGAGCCCGGGAGGTTTCTAGGGGATTAAAAACTATTTTAGCCAATTACCAGCTGAAATTCAGCATTTTCTTCATTTAACAATGTGGGCAATGGTTTTCAGTTATCTACCAATAACTAAAATGAACCACTGAAAACCTTCAAACAGTAATGTCTTGTACAGTCTGTTAGTTGGCTGGGCAGTTATACTGGGAGTTATATTAGTGTTACCCCAGTGGCTCAATTAAACTGGCTGCTTGGCTGAACAGTGCCCTTACTCCTAGGGAGCATTGTGTTCCATTGTGTCTAGTTTGGTTTCACATGGTTACTGGATTCTAGGAAGGCAGAACTCCATGCCCATTTATCTGCATCCTATTTGTTGATGAAAAGCCACATCCAGAGTTGCTATGGTAGGGGACTATAAAAGGGCATAAATACAAGGAAGAGTGGTTGATTGGGGGCCATTGATTGAACCCCAGTCATATTAGCAGTACTTGCCACTGATAAAAATCACAGCACCAATTCAAAGCAGACATTTTCCCATCACATTACAGTTGTTGCAGATCTCAAAATACCGTTTATGCTCATCGCTGCTTCGAAATTATAGAGGTTCTTAGGGTTTACTATTTTTGCTAGTACTAGAGCTTGAACTCAGGGCCTGCACTTGCTTGGATTTTTTAGTTCAAGGCTGGCACTCTACCATATGAGCCACATCTCTGCTTCTAGCTTTTTGCTGGTTATTGGGAGATAGGAGTCTCTTGGACTTGTCTTCCCTGCCTGGCTTCAAACTACAATCCTCAGATCTTAGCCTCTTGAGTCGCTAGGATTATAGGTGATGTGAGCCTTCAGTGCCTGGCAGATTTTTAAAAATGTGATAGACTAATAAAGAAGCATATATCCTGTATCAGAAGCTTGGGTTAAAAAATCATACATAATTTAATACAATTGTTTTATGTAATTAGAATTATTCTGATTGACCAAAAAGGCACGAAATCCCTGAGGACTTTAGAGGAGGCTTCACAGAAGGAACATTTCAATTTAATTTTGAAAGATAGGTATGAATAAGTCAGCTGAGTAAGCCTAGGGGTGTATGCATCAACAGCGGTCCTTGATTTCAGGAAGTGTTTGTATCTTAGTTTGATCCATTAAGGGAAACCTAAAGTTATGCCTGCTGAATATGTATTTTGAATAGGAAAAGATCACAACAAACCTTAGAGGACACTAAAGTGTAAGGATAAGTGAAGGATGAGGGGAGACCAGGAATGGGGGAACTCTTGAGAGGCAGATGCTTAGAAAAGTTTTTTAAAAAGAAAAATTTAGCCGGGCACTGGTGGCTCATGCCTGCAAGTAATCCTAGCTACTCAGGAGGCTGAGATCTGAGGATCTCAATTTGAAGCCAACCCAGACAGAAAAGTCCCTGTGAGACTCTTATTTCCAATTAACCATTCAAACACTGGAATTGGCACTGTGGCTCAAGTGGTAGACTACTAGCCTTGAGCACAAAAAGGCTCAGGGACAGCGCCCAGGCCCTAAGTTCAAGCCCCACAACCAACCAAAAAAAGAAAGAATTTTTTTAAAGCTCCTGTAATGAGATCAGTATTAGAACACATTGCAAGTGGACTTGGGTTTAGTCCTCATGCACTTTTTTCATTCACTAGAGCAAGAGGAGAGAGGAAAAAATTCCAATCCTTGGACTATGTTCTTCCTTCAGGTCTGATTGGACCACCTTGGCTTAGGTGTCTGCCCCTGATCCAATAGCAAGTGACTGGAGAAAGCCGTTCTCTGATTGGCTTAAGCCAAACACCAGTATTTTACCTTAATCACTTGAAATTCATGAACACCATGTGGTTCTTTTAGGAAGGAAGAGGTGTAGTCTACGGAGTAGATCTGAAACTAATTGTCCTTGTCTGTGAGATAAATTAGATGAGTGTGGACAAGTGTTCATTGATTTGTGCACTTCAGAAAGCACTCATAACTCATATAGGTTTACTGTTTGGAATGAAAGATAAGCATAGATTGAGGAGTAACATAAGTAAATGGACCCACAGTTTACTGGCAAGGGAAGGAAAGAGAAGATTCTAGAGTTGTTTTGTGTTCGTTGGAATATACAGTATTTGGCTATGTTGAGGTCTAGGGAGGAATGTAGTTTTGTTGTTGTTGTTTTTTTTTGTTGTTGTTGTGGGGCTTGCATTCAGGGCCTGGGTGCTGTCTCGGAGCCTCTTTGTGCTCAAGGCTAGCACTCTACCACTTGAGCCACAGCACCACTTCCGGTTTTTGAGTAGTTTATTGGAGGTCAGAGTCTCATAGGTAGTTTTCTGCCTGGGCTGGTTTCAAACTGAGATCCTCAGATCTCAACCTCCTAAGTAGCTAGGGTTACAGGGGTGAGCCACTGGTGCTGGGCTAGAGAAAGGAACTTCCTAAGGTGAGAGAAACTCCTTTTTGTGAGATGGAAAGAAGTATGGGAATGGTTAGAGTTTAGTGGTTCTCAGTTGAATGAAATCACCCCCTTTAGAGTATATTTTGGAAACTCCTCGACTGGTTTTTTTGTCTTTAATTTAGTTGTGTTGAGCATGTATTACATGAGCCATGTATTATACTGAAGAATAATTCTTTTTTTTTCTGGTCCTGGGGCTTGAGCTCTGGGCCACGTCGCTATCCTACAGCTCCACTTCTGGCTTTTTGTGGTTAATTGGAAATAAGAATCTCACAGAATCTCTTTCCTGCCCAGGCTGGCTTAGAACTGTGATCCTTGTAACTCAGCCTCCTGAATAGCTAGGAGTACAGGTATGAACGAGTGCAAAGCTGAAATAGAGTTCTTATAAATCTTTCCTTTTATTACCATCAAATCAGTCTGCTGGTATCTTTTTTCAGGACTTAAGTGTGTATTTATTAGTGAATGAATGATACATTTTATTTCAAAATAGCAAAAGTAGCATTAGATGTTTGTTATATAATGGTGATCTTCAGCCTGTCAAATATTAATGTTTATATGACTCTTGTTAAAATCCAAATACAACTGAGCAGGTCTGGAAATGGTGCCTCAGATTTTTTCTTTTTCAGTGAGTTTCCATATGGTAAGATGTTGCCGGTTCCCTATCACAATTTGACTAGTCAAGACTTGAGTCAAAGAAGTAATGAATGTTTGTTGTGGTTGTTTTTAATTTTTTTTTTTTGGTTGGTCGTGGGGCCTGAACTCTGGGCCTGGGCGCTGTCCCTCAGCTCTTTGGCTGAAGGCTAGCACTCTACTACTTGAGCCACAGTGCACTTCCGGCTTTTTCTGCTTATGTGGTGCTGAGGAATGGAACCCCAGGGCCTGATGCATGCAAGGCAAGCACTCTACCACTGAGCCACCTTCCCAGCCCTATTTTAATTTTTTATATAGGTTATATACAGAGGGGTTACAGTTATATAAGTCAGGTAAAGAATAGATTTCTTGGGGCTGGGAAGGTGGCTCAGTGGTAGAGTGCTTGTCTTGCATGCATGAGGCCCTTGTTTTGACTCCTCAGCACCACATAAGCAGAAAAAGCTAGAAATGGCACTGTGGCTCAAGTGGTAGAGTGCTAGCCTTGAGCTGAAAAGCTGAGGGACAGTGCCCAGGCCCAGAGTTCAGGCCCCACGACTGGCAAAAAAAAAAAAAGATTTATTTTTGGACAGTGTCACCCCCTTCTCTCGTTCTCTTCTAGTTTTTCCCTCCAAGTACATGTTGTATACTTTATTTTCAACATATTGTCTAGTGGGTATCACTGCTGTATTTGTTTACCCTTTGCCACTCCATTTCTGTGCCATCCTCTTACCCTCC